TTCAAAGAAGTGAAAACTTTTAATCTATTGAAAAAAATGATAGAAAGATCCACTAAATAATAAATAGCTCAACTTTTGACTCTTTAGTTTTGTCGGTGAAACGCGCACCTACAGGTCCCCCTGTTCATTAAGCTTTTTTCTATAGTATTATAAAGATATTTCGAATAGATCTTGATGAGTAAACTAGAATATGCATTTCTATTAGTGTTGAAGGCTTACCTGTTCCCGCAATTGTCACTCCGGACAACGCACCTTTTGCCCAGAATTGAATTCTATGATTGTTGGTATCTGCTATATAAATATTTCCAGTTGAATCAACAAGTATACCAGCTGGATGTTGTAGATCAGTCGCATTTGAACCAGATATTCCACTGGCTTGCCCTGCAACTGTAGTACCGTTCGATGCACCGCTCAACCATTTTTGTATTCGATTATTGCCGTAATCAGCTATATAAAGTGTATTTGAAAAATCTACTGATACATCAGCCGGAGTATTAAGTTGACTGGAATTATTACCCGGTGAACCTCCTACACCAGCAGCAGTTACTCCTGTTGTGTTCCAACGAAGGGAAGGAGTAACAACTAGAACAATCAAAACTATGGTTGAGTTTCGATCGTAACAAAAAAGAAACTTTTTGAATAAAATTTACCGTTCGTCGTACTTGCTGTTCTACTAGTAAAATGAATAATCAAATAAATACCAACAGCAAGTATTATTAATATCAGTAGAGTCACTATACTTATAATCCATCCTTTTGGAAATATTTTCTTTTTGTCTTTATTCTCTTGTCGTAAATCTCTGTAATAAAGTATATTTGATAACAATTCAAAGGCAAACTAATCTATTAGTTATTTACTTGACGCTTTTTTTTTATAGATTGTTGGAAAACACCGAGAGAAGACGCTGAATTTGCTAAGAATATCTTCGATCTCCGTGTCTCCTTTGTCATTAATCGCATTGTAGACATTGCTCCAGATGAGAATTGAAAGGCATGATTTGAAATAGTTGATGGCGTCATGTCAGATGATGATTCAATATGAATGTTTTCATGTTGTCGTTTATCATTGATAGGTATGACCTAAAATAAATAGCTTGTGCTATTGTTACCATTTATCTTCAAATTATCTTATTTACTTTGGATGATGAATGATGTTTCGTTCTTTTTGGAACATTGGTTACACGTACTGATCGAAATCTATCCATTTAGTAATAACTATGCATAAGAATTCTTCAAATATATAATAAAATCAACCTAATTCTATTTTTATTTTGTTGCGTTTCTTATTCATATAAGAATAAAATCTCATTAAAAAAAAGAAATCCGTCACAGAATTTAATCAAAGATTCATTTACATAAAAATTAGATTATTTTCTATTCGATACCAAATCCATTGAAGTTACAAAAGTTGATTTCAAATATTGTTATATTTTTCTGTATTATGACAAAGCAAATTTAAAAAAAATAAACATTCAAGTTTGCATTGGTACAAAGAAAAGGGTCAATAACATCATAGCTGGGTGTTTGACACAATGTCATCTAGAGATATGAGGGTGGGTGTTAATGTGAGTAGTTGGTGAATGTCATGGTTTTGATCACACCCACACCCATGGCGTAGGTGGATATGAATTACTGCCCAAATCTCGAAGACAAAATTCCGAATAATACCTTGAAAAGCAGATCCAGAAAAAAAATTTCGAACATAAAATCTCGAATTTTGCTACATTACATTTTCGAAAAGGGAACGTTGAAACATGCCCTCATGCTACGATCACTTGGTTAATTTGAAACAAATATTATTATGAGTAGTCTGCTTTCGTTTTTTTCTTCTTTAATTTGCCCTGGTGGTCTGCGTTCACGAGCGGTATGTTCGAATAACTTCTTGATATTGCTTTCAACAATTATGAATAGATGTTGGCTAGTTATCATGAAGGCAATAGTAACCAGGTGAAATCTTTCTAAAGTATGAACTTGAATGATGTATGCCAAAATAAATGATTTCATTACTGTACGTCCAAACGAAACCTCACTGAATGTGAAATATGTGAATGTACGGTCTCATCTATTTCATGATGTTCTCCCACTTGTGTACATACTCGAAAATCTTTATCATATCTGACAAACATAAGCTCCAGTAGTCTAATGGTGAAGACGCACGACTGAAGATCGTGTCATCCAAGTTCGATTCACAATGTTCAGTTATTATATTAATTCATTCAAAGTACTATTCGTATCATGACTTATGAAATGTTCGCAATACTTGAACAAAGCTTTTCTTGGCTGAAGCATGAAAACAGTTTTTTCGTTCGTTTGTTTTTGTAAGAGTAGAATATCTTACATAATAATATTAACGTTGCATCATGCTTTTAGCTGTTAAGATGCAACATGACTTGAGTGGGGTTTGTAGGAAATACAATAGAAAACATACAAGTCACGTTAATACATGACCTTGAAGGAGTGTTTTCTCGCATGGATTTGAATCTGGACAAGTTTCTATCGCTCAACTTATTTTAATCAAAACTTAATAGGAAAAGTCCAATATGGGGGAAGTTGTGAGTTCTGTTCGTTAGAATTACAGGCAATGTGATGTCAGTAGTGATGCAGCTAACAAACCATTGTCTGATCATTTATTATACAGACGGTGAAGACTTTTTCAGTAAATGCTGTAGAGAAAACCTCTAAAAGATCTATTGGAGAGGATGAAATGAAGATTTCTTCATTTAATCGGTTTTCCTGGCTCCACAAACAAGCACTTATATGCCGCATTGACAGTCTCATACTCTGATACTTCGACCCTTATTTTTTTGATTATATGGAAAGCAGTTAATCTCTTACTTCTGGACGTCCTTCAAAAGCCCAGGCTACTGTTAATCTGCACTATAAACCAATGTAAAAATTCATGTACAGCAAACAATCGAAGAAGAAACATTTATCTAAGTGATCAATGAAGTTACCTACACCAGTTAGTATTAACATGTTTCTGCTGTAAGTTGAACGACATACAACAACAAGTTTTCTACTTCGGCACGATATTCGAAACGATAATAAGTCAAACGGCGTATCATGTGTTTCGATAGTATTCTTGCCACCCAATTAAAGAATTCGTCTTCAAGGGTGTGGGTGTAACTGAACAACATGTGAACACTTGCCAACCACATCCACATCCAAGAGAATATATGTGAGTTCGACAAAAATTGATGTGATTCTATATATATTTGTGATCTTGGGCCTTTTAAATACTTTTGAGAGCTATCAGTGAAATATGTTTTAAAAACAAGCCATGAATGTTACATGATGCAATTGTCTAACAAAACAAACAGTAAGAATAACAACTTATTACCCAGATGCTCATGTAAATATTCATAATCACTAAGTAATTTAGCCTCATCTTATAAGCATAAAATAAAATACATTTTATGTTTACAAGAAAGCAACGCAAATATACTTAGCTGGTCTATTGGAGCAATATCTTGATTTATTTTGCATTGGTGTACTAATGAAACACTATCAGTAGAATACGTAGAAACAATCATACATTTTTCTGTTAGCTGTCTAATCGGCATTCTAGCACGTAAAAATAACTATAATCCTTCTGTTTGGAAAAGATTTAAAATACTTTTATCTAACACGTAGGAGATATTAGATTTAATCATTAAAACACGTTGCTACCGAAAAAGAAAAGAATTAACTGGATTTTCACGAGTTTTTATTGGTCGATTTCAATTTTGATAGGGAAAATGTATTATAAAGTCTAAAACCATGACTTTTCAACAAGTTACACCTTCATGATGTGAATGAGTTGTGATGCGTTAAACATCGTTTTAACATTTTATTTCCTATGCGGTTATTGAATTTGATATACAAAGGAGTCGTATCGTTATTGAGTCTCATTTTAACAAAACTGTTATGGAATTGACAGTAATTTGTTATTGTATACTAGTACTATTCAGGTAAACGTTTTAAATCTTTGATTTTTCTATTCAACTACTATTGAATAATCTTTCATTTCATCCTTACATGTTTCATTATCTATCTTAATTTGCTCTTAATTTAGTGTTTTGATAGTTCGAGCCAAATATCAATCATGCGATGACTTGACTGAATATGCGCCATGTTCGACGCATTCTGCGTGCATCTGTTTCCGTACGATCACTTCTTCTAGCTCAAGTATTTGTGCCGACGAATTTTCACTGTCTTGCTCTGAGCTAGTTCAGTGTGAAGGCTTAAACAATACTTGTGATGAATCCGAGTATTTCTGCATTAATCATTCTCGATGCCATGATTTTCCTATTTGTTACCCAGTACCGAGCTTCAATGAACAGCTTTGTCCTCCGTTAAATAAGAGCAACAAAATGTGACTTTCAAAATCAATTGAATACGAATTTTTCTTGAAGTTATTTTTTTAGTCTGCACACATATTCACATTTGTGATTCTTTTCGATGTAGCAATCATTCAGAGAAAATAAAGAGTATATAGAGAAAAGGAGATAAAAATGACCGCTATATAGTCAATTGTAATAGTTAAAATATAGATCATGTGTTTTCATATGAACTTGTTCATCAATCGAATATATGAATGCTTCTCTTCATTCGATCGACTTTATTCGAATTCACTGATTGAACTGTTGTGACTCGCACGATTCATCACGTTGAATTAGCCTGGTTTTACAGATTACAGATCTCTGATACCTAGTGAAGTTTACATGAACGCTTTGAGCTTGTTCTAAGAGAAGGCTTCTAAATTTATACTTTTTCCATAATGAGGGGTCTACGGAATAATCCCAACGTATTATGTCTGCATTATTATACGACTCTTATACATATCTATTCAGATTTCTTTCATTTAAGCTACGGATGTGATGATAGAATATTTGTATATCCGGAAATAAAAATACTAGCAGTTGAGAAGTATTTTTACGAAGTATAAACCTGTAAATGTTAATTTAAGTGATTGGATCACACAACAACCACAGTGAGTTATCATTAAATTCTGATTTCTATCAAGTTTAATTCAACTTAGGAGTTTGAAAAGAACTAGGCAACTTATATGAATGTTCTGATTCACAAACATTTCGATGTGCAGCACCACGACTCAAAATAATAGTTTTTTCTGCGCCGAGTTAATGCATCTCTTGAAATATTTCGATATCTGTTTCTTTTTGTAGTGTTGGTAGAGTTTCGATGTGCGTGTTGAAATGAAACGCAAACAGAGAAAATGATAGTGTCAAAATCCACATCATCCTTGTAATCAAATCCACTCCAGAAAACACAAATGAAACCTAGATTCACATGAGAGCTAACCTTCACATGCTAACTCTATACCTTTTTCTCTACTCATATTCAGATTCATCCTATTGATAGTTTATAGTGCAATCATATCTGAAAGGATTTTAGAAGTTTATAGTTTAAGGGAAGTGCAATATTTGCTGTTACATTTAAGAAATAGTATATTTTATATTACCTATTATGTTAAAAATCGGACCATTTCATTCTTATATACATATTGTTTTTAATAATTAATACGGTATAACACTATAGGGACAACGACAACACCAACTACAACAACAAGTACAACCACAACCACAACCACAACCACAACCACAACCACAACGACTACCCGCGGACGACGTAAGCTTTTAGATCATGCTTCTCAATCATCCGCAACTCTTATTCCGAATCGGACACCTATAGTTATTTTTATGATATATCACTATGCATGCATCTGAAATTTCACTTGATGCCTTAGTTATTTTATATCATGAGAAATTTGGATGTCAGCATAAGAAAAACTGAATGTCTTTCAATTTTCATATTATTTAACTATTCTCATCATAATTAAAATTAGCTTTGCTTTATGGGTATGCTCACGTCAATAGTAGTAAAACATATGATTATGATATTCATCGATGAGGTCACTTTAAGACATTAGAAGATGTTTGGAAATAGAAGAGCTCATTTGATTATCGAAGATTTTATGAATCATATAAGCTACGAGATCACTTCTGTCAAAATGAGAATATTTTTTCCAAATCCTTTTGACTCCATTGATTATCGACCATATCATAGATTTGAGAAAATAATTTTTAATTTTCAATACTATTCTAAGATGTACAATGTATCAATGGTCGATTTCAAATGTATGTAGCTACCAACTATCAGAGAATTATACACATAATGATTCAATTAGTTTTGCTCATTTTTTATTCAGTTTGCTGTATTTCACAGAAGCATTGGAAATATTTAGAAGTTCTACACGATTTTGTTGAGGAAGGAAATAAAATCTTATTGTCGAGATTTTAGACACATTTACACTAATATATTTTCGATAATAATCGCATGATTTCAAATTTACTAAAACGTTTATAGGAATTCTTTCACAAAATTGCTATCAACATTGGAAATTACATGTTTTACTCGAGTTCACCTTTTTAGTTGTTGACGCACATGAGGATCAGTATATTTCATCTATGATCAACTTATTGAATTTTCAAATAATCAGTAAACGACTATCTTGAACATTGATCACTAATGTCAGAGAGCTCTTTATCCATGCTTGACTATTATGTAATTACGACAAGGCTTATTTCGGTATAATTCTTATTGATAATCAGGTAGATTCATAAGTTGTAAAAAAAGTTAACTTGCACATAGATCTACTACTGTTCTCAATAGAAAAAAATGGTGAGAGATCTATAGTTTTTTTAATTTGTATATTTCTTTTAACTGGGCTCAAATAAGTACTTTTTAATTTCACCTGTATATTATATGATTATCGAGTCAATGATATGACGGCTTGCGTAGCGTAACTCAAGAAATGAAAATGAAGAATTATTTGCTACAAAAGATTTTACACAAAATAAAAAGATAATGAAAGATGACTGATCAATATCATACAATAGATTACAAAGTGTTTTCTTGTAACAACTAATATTGTTCTGGCGTTCATTTACTTTGTATGTGTGCACATTTCCCAATGCTCATTTAAGGAGAGCAGATGATTGACATTTCCAATAATCTTCTAGTGGTCATAATGAAATTCTTAGCCATGATGATTCTGTTACATTTATCAACTCATTCTTTAAAAAAATGATATGGATTGCATTTTTAAACATATCTATCTTTCATAGAAGATAAACAGTTGCTGAAACATATACTCATTGTCAACTCTTTCTATAGATGTTACTTTAACCATCTCGAATCCTGAAGATTTGAAAAAAAGATAGTATTAGAAATCTATCTGAATATTTACACTAGTGCTCGAATGAGTATTTTATTTTCATAATCCATTCTCAACATCACTGAGTCACGAATTATTCATGATAAAATATTTGTATGTCGAGAAAGCAAAAGAAGTATAAAATTGGCAAACGACTGAATAAGAGTAATGATGAAATTTAAGATTTATGCAAAATCCTTATTGTCTTTATCATTTTGATTTATCTATAAAGAATCCACAAAAAAAAGATCAATAAACTCAAACAACTTTTATTATGAAAAAAATTCGGAAAACAAATAAGCTATTTTCTCTCATGTACACATGATAGAAATACGTTTGCCTTCTTTTTTATCTATAAGTGATAGGAGAAAATATTAAATCGTTATGTTTCATAGTTTATATGTGATATGTATTTCAGTTTTTATTTTTGAATGGATTAGTCTATAATATGAAATAAAATGCAATATGTAATTTTTGTTATCATTTTTCGCCATTTGCTCAAAAAGTCATGCATTTATTTGTGCTTGATATTTTATCTGATTCATTAAGGTTTTTCGTAATGCTAACGAAAATATTACTTTTACAAACTCTCAGATAGATATAACTAGTGGTATACTCTTTGACTAAAATAATTATTCAACATTCTAAAAGAATCTTCCAGTAGAAAGACATTTCTACATCATATCAAGATCTTTCTCTAATTTACGGCTTGATACTTTCCGTTTTTTCATGGATTCAAAAATAAAAAGATCTATTAAAGGAATATTATCCTACACATTCGGAATTACAGGAGTGTGATATCTACTCAAGTCACTAAGTTCTACCTACGAATCCACCTGGAACTGATTGTAACTGGTACCAGATCATTCCAGAAACAGGCATGCTTGCCAGTTAAATCTGCCAAGACTCACCAGGGAGTTTACCGGAATCTTTGCTCCTGAGATTCGGCCCCGATTTCAAAAGAAAACGATTCAGTTGTTTCCTGTGAAGTTAGATCACCGAGCATTGTCGAATCCCATTACCAGAAAATGCCGGACCCCCATGGTTTCACGACAGATTTTATCGGTTTTCATCATATGCAAACTATAAGAAACCGCAACAGGATCTTCCATAAAATGATCTGAGTATTACTAATAGATATTACCCATTGAATTATGTAGAAATAACCGAAAGTAGCTCTTCTTTTCTAACACTACGACTTCAGCTAGGGAGCGATCTCGTTTGATTTTACGTTTTTGCTTCTAGTTAATATTGCTGCTAATGCCAAATGGACACAGAATGGTATGACTGTTGCTGGTGGCCACGGACAAGGGGATGCCGCTAGTCAACTTTATGGGCCTCATGGTTTCTCCGTTGATGATGACCAAACAGTGGTTATTGCTGACTACGTGAATCATCGTATCACTCAATGGAAGAAAGGTACTACAACAAATGGACAAGTTGTTGCTGGTGGAAATGATCAAGGAAGTGGATTGAATCAATTGAATTGGCCAAGACATGTATTAATTGACAAAGAGACGGATAGTCTCATTATTTGTGATTCAGGGAATAAACGAGTTGTACGATGGTCTCGTCGTAGTGGCACAAAACAAGGTGAAATTCTCATTGACAAAATCGATTGTTATGGATTGGCAATGGATGATCAGGCATATCTCTACGTCTCTAACGCCCAAAAACACGAAGCAAGACTATATCAATTGAGTGAGAAGAATGAGATTCTCGTTGCTGGTGGAAATGGCCAAGGTACTGGTACCAATCAGCTTAATAATCCCCACTATCTCTGTGTCGATCCACAACAGAATGTTTACGTGTCAGATGAGGGAAATAATCGCGTAGTGAAGTGGAGTAAAGGTGCAAAAGAAGGTATTGTGGTCGCTGGAGGTCAAGGCGATGGGAATGCTGTGACTCAATCAGCTTATCCTAATGGGCTCTTCGTCGATGCATTGGGTACCCTCTATGTAGCAGAATCGAAGAATGATCGTGTAATGCGTTGGGTTCAAGGAGCAAAACAAGGCACTTTAATTGTCGGTGGAACTGGTCAAGGCGCCGGAGCGAATCAACTAAACAGTCCCCTTGGTTTGTCTTTCGATCGACATGGTAATCTCTATGTCGCTGAGTATGGAAATAATCGTGTTCAACGATTTTCTATCGCATAAGAATTGTCATTTCTTTTTCTACTTTGAAATGCCCAGGTTGATCGTTCCGGCCACCGACTACAGTAGGGACCGGTCGAAAAGATGTCGAAAAATCACCATACCCCGCTGTATCACCACGGCCTGGGTTCTAAACTTTGTTAACCATTTTCAATGAAGCGTAAGATATTCACAAGTTTTTTTTTGCTGGAATGTATGAAAGGTAACTTCAAAACAGCAACTTCTTCAATTTGATACTCAAATGCTCACAAAATTTGAATCATTAGAGAAAAAACAACAAAGGATTGATAGTAAAAAGATAATTCTACAGCAAACTAATATCAATTGATATTCATTAATATATTCTACTACAACTATATATTTAATAATAGATGTGTGACCATGGGTACCCTTGTTGTGGGTGTGGGTGTGGGTGTGGATGTGGGGTGCTGCTATACCTGACATTATTATTTTTCGATTCCCCCACACCTACAACCACATCCATCCTTTGGTATTCCTAATGAGAATCTCGATGATCGAACCTTGCCGAACGAGTATACAATCCGACACTATATGTAATAGTTCTGATGAATTTGACTATTATAAATATCACATTTAATCATTTCGAAAAAACCAAGTATTGACTGCAAGCAGACACACATTCATATTCATGAAACTGTAAAATCTCCACAATAACAAAAGCCATGTAAGCTATAGTTCAGTTCAAACCGACTACCACCACGAGCACCAATCAGACATCTCCTTAAAGGCGTTTTCAGGGATTTCGAACAAGCTAACGGGGTATCGGATATATCCAAAGGATCAAAGATTCTTGGCACACATAGTGTTGCATTCGCAAAAGTGAATGAAATTGTGTAAAATTAGCCTGATACGTTCTATCAAATCACATTGTGCACACGAATCTTTTGTTGTTTATTTTATCGTTAGTATCCCACTGTTTACCTAAGAACAAACACATTTTCCCATTGATAAGGCGTCATCGATGATACAGCGACAGGCATAGCATTGCTTTTCATTACTTGCAAGAACAAATAGTTGGCTTAAAACATGACGTGTTGGCCTGATGCACGAAAAGAAAACGAATCAACAATTATTCATCAATTTTAATTTTTAAAAGATCAATTGACAAAAGAATCGGCTCTTAAGTTATGCAAAAATGCTGGTGGTAGTGATTTTCTCTATGAATTGTATGATGCAAAACATCTTTATTATGAAGATGCTTTTCAAACTTTTATGATTTTTTTGCGAGCTATCACAGCATTGGTTCCTCGTTCAAAATTTCAAAATATATTTCCAAATTCTTGTCCTGGATGTGCTGTCTCAAATTTGATCTATTTTATGCTTGCATCCAACACTGGAAAATGAGATAAATACTTTACTTTGTGAATTGTTATTCAATACACATGGTAATATTTTAAATTGTGATGATATTCGTCAAATTGCTATGATGATGCGACGCGCGTACAAACGTCGTGAAGATCCATTTCCATATATTGGCTATTGCTTAGATTATGATAGTGAAAGTCAAGGATTCAAAATGGCATATGTCATTGGCGCATTATTTTCATCCGATCAATTCTGCGAATTAATGAAAAGTAATTCTGTCGTAGGTGCTCAAGTAGCTCATGAAATGGTGAAAAACCTTGCTGATAGTGATCGGCAATCACAACAATTACATGAATTATTATCAAAATATAAGGAACTTATATCGGATAATAAATCCGACATATGAAAGCCACTCTAATTTCCATATAATGGCGTTATAAAAGTGTTAGTATTTCATAGAATGTGTAAGCAAAATAAATTTGCTTATTTAGAATAAACTTAATTATTCAGGATTAATCAAAGTTCTTGATGTCCATATTTAAGCAACAATCAAATATAGACTAGAATTTCAAGACCAATCAGGGAGTCTTGAAAGTAATTCCTTGGTCCCATAAAGTCCAAGCCAGAAATCTTCTTCGTTCATTGGTTGTGCTTTTTGTGTGTCAGAATGATCGGCAAACATTCTCGATGTTGTTCTTTGAGATCTGTTCCGACCAAACAAATTTGATTCTTCACATAAGACTCTACTTCTAATAAAATGATACAGTGGTTCCCGTCGAACGACATCCTATACGAAAAATTAGAAGTAAAAATTGGAAAAAAGACTAAACTTACAGTTGTTTTTAATCGATTCTCATAAATATTAAATATAATGCGTTGCTACGAATGAAAATCAAAACTATTGTGAAAGATTAATATAACAAAATAACATCCATACATGATTATGATGTAATGCATTCATCAAATGTTGTGCACCATTGTCTGTGATTTCATTTTGCCATAGAGAAATTCGTTTGAGAATCTTTATACAAATTGTGAAATTTTATGTGAGAAAGATAGCAGAAAAGTATTTTTTTACAGTGTTCCGATTTAATGCAATTGCTAGAAATCCTGCTCCTCCGTTAGTAATTCGATTCGACCGAAGGTTCAATGCTTGAAGTTCCTTTATAAAAACAAGGTGCATTATAATCATAATTTAGTAACAATTTGGATCGCCGTTTGATTCTCCAACAAATCTGCCAAATATTTAGTTCCTTCATCTCCAATGTTATTGATACTAAGATCAAGCGTTTGCAGGCTCTATCGTAGAAATTTCAAAAGCAATATGAAAAGAAAGAAAATGAAGCACTAACCGTCGTTTTTTTAATGCATTTACTAACAGGTGCACTCCTTCATTTCCAATTTCATTGGAACTAAGATCAAGTTTAATCAGTATCTATATTAAATTCTCAATATACAATTAGAATGAACGAAAATATTCATGAAGCAGCTACCCTGCTATTGCAAAGCGCTAAAGAGAGCTGCTCTATCCTTACAGGCCCAATATTATTACCACTAAGATCCAAGACATTTAATACCTATATGTAAGAAATAGTTCATAGAAAAACTACGCAGAAAGCTTACCGTGCCACTGTATAATGCATCGGCTAGATATTTTACTCCGTTGTCACCTATGTTATTATTTCCCAATAAGAGTGTTGTCAGTATCTATTTTAATTAAAGATGAAACTAATTAGATCTAGACCTATTAGAAAACAAATGCAGGCATACCTCATTACGATGTAACATCTTAGCAAGAAGTTCTGCACCATTCTCCGTAATTTCATTGGAACGAATATCAAGAGTGGCAATCAATTATAGAAAAGTAATCAGACATCGAAAAAATATTTAAAGCAATTGATTATTACACGATTTAGTTGTAGTGCCTGGCATAAAATCTCAGTTCCTTCATCACCAAGTATATTGTATCGAAGATTAACCGTAGTAAGATTCTATGTCAAGAGCATTGGAAAATAGTGAAAAACTATTCATCAAATCTACTTTATTGTTCCGTATTCAAATAGCGACTCCTATTACTGCATAATCTCCTTGGCCATTTCCCGTTAAATCTACAGCCGTGAGATTCTTGAAGGAACGAAATAAGAAGAGTTCAACAAAACTTAAATATTACTTGGTTGCATTGAAACATATTAGTTAAATGCCGTCGACTCGATGTCTTAATATTATTCCAAGAAAGATCCAAGACATTAAGTGTCTATATAGAACATAAAGGACAGATTTTGAAAGTTTATCAGAAAATTAATTGTCACTTTGTTAGTATTCAAAGCATTCGCTAGATGTCCAAGTCCTGTATCACTGATAATATTTGTGACGATTTTAAATACAAGAGATGCTTGCGCTGATGGAACTACGCTTTATTTAGCTTCTTCATATCACAAATCGCACCGTTTACACCCACAACACGCGTTTATATACGCAGCCAAAAAAGAGAGATAGAGAGAGAAAAGATAGACATAACAAAAGAAAGATGAGAATAACAGAAAAGATAATCGTGGAGGATGATATATGTATTCCGGTCAACAGAATAAGCAACAAGCTAATCTTAGTTATAAACGCATGAACGACACGATATATGTTGAATAGGAAAAGTCAGAAGATAAAGAGTGTTGTATGAACACTCATCATAGAATGTTACAATATTATCTCGAAGTATTCGCAAAAAAATCATGCATACAAAATAGTATGGCAACACGTCCTACTATATTTTCACACAAAGCATCAGCAAGACATTGAGCTCCTAATGGTCCAATAGTGTTTTCGCGGAGATCAAGTCTTTGTAATGTCTACATTAAAGATGAAGGGTAACAAAGTTATAGACAGTTTTCAATCAGAATTACCGTATTCTTTCGCAATCCATTTGCCAGATATTTTGCGCCTTCATCTCCAACTTCGTTTGATTGGAGATTCAATGTTAATAGTGTCTGTATGTAATAATAGAGAGATATATTACTGACTCAACCAAACAACGAGAATCACTTTATCGTTTTGCAACAAATCACCCATATATTTAGCACCATCCACTCCAATATTGTTCTTGGCCAAATCTATATTCATGATTGTCTAAATAAAGTAATCGTCAAGACTATTTCAAAGATGATTAGAATGCTTTAAGCACCGTGTTGTTTGCCAAAACATCGACTAGAAATTGTACTTCTTCGTCTCCAATACGTTTTTCGGCGACGTTTAGTTCTGTGCGTACCTATAGGAAACAAAACTGACAGTAATACAAATGATGTTGAATGATTAATAAATACTTGATCACGTGGAGCTGTTAGAAAGATTTCAACCAGTGTACATAAACTACTTTCGTTACCATGAAGACTCAATCTGTTGAATATCTGAAAATGCGATTTTACAATATATCGAATAGACAATTACTGAGGAGCAATGACCTTCCTGTTTGGAAATGTATTGTATAGATAATATGCTCCTTTACTTCCAATCTTATTAGATGCTAGATCGAGCCTGGTTAATGTCTAGAGAAAAATTCACACTGAAAAGATGGATATCAATGAAGCACTGATGTTTACTATATTGTTACGAAGTGCATCACATATACATTCTACTCCTTGGTCGTCTATCATATTTCTTGAGAGATCCAGCGAGGTCAATGTCTTCAAATAATAACAATTATAGACATGTCAACAATATTGAGAATTAATAGCAATCACCTGATTATCTATTAAAGCTGTGGCTAGTAGTTGTACATTTTGAGAATCGATTTTGCTATTCTCTAGATTTAGATAAGTTACTGTCTGAAAAAAAATAACACAATTGAATCAAAGAGTGAAATCGAAACTTATTCTTGTACTCTGTTGTTTCGTAATTGGATACTGGCTCCTAGAACAGCAACACAACCACTTGCATTTCTGCTTAGATCGATTTCCAATATTGTCTACAGAGAAAATAATAGTTAACAAAAATTGAATGGAAACTGCCTTATTGTTTAATAATGCATATGAAAGAAGAAAATATTTACTGCATTATTTTGTAGAACATCAGCCAAATATTTTGCACCCTCGTCACTAATATGATTTGATCCAAGCAATAGTTCGGTGATATTCTAAAACAAAGAAGAAGCCAAAATTTATATACACATACCAAACATTCAAAGACAACTACCGAGTTTTCTCGAAGTAGATCGGCGAGATATTGTGCTCCAGTATCGCCAATTCCGCTATTAGTAAGATCAATAGCAGTAACCGTCTTTTAGTGAAGAAAGGAATAGCAAATTGAAATAGTTTGATATCTACCGTGTCATGGATCAAACATTGACTGATATACTGTAAATCTATATCTGGAACATGTGTATTTCGAAGATCTATCTTGCTAAAAATCTATAAAAAACAAAGTAATCGTTATGAATTAGAGAGAAATAGTTTGATACATTGCCACTTCGGATGCTACAAATAGTTTCACTAGCTGCACATTGATTGTCCTGGAGATATATTTTTTGTAAAGTCTGTAATTATTCAGACGAAAGATATAAGAAATTAAACTTATAGGTAAAGGGTAAATACTGCATTGTCTTTTAGTGCATTGACAAGGAATCGACCTCCTTGACTTCCGATTCTATTCGAACAAAGGCTTAATAATGTAAGTGTCTATGCAAAAACCGACTGATAAGAATAATTAATACACACAAAGAAAGCGATATTACTCTATTCGTTTTTATTATCTCGGAGAGGTATTGTGCACCTTGATCAGTGATTTCATTATTATCAAGACTCAATGATGTGATTTTCTACATATAAAATGGTGAGTATTCATATAACAGCAGTAAAGAAAATCAAACAAAGGAACCTTATGACTTTCCAAAATATCTACAATATATTGTACACCTTCGTCACCAATTTTATTGTTATTGAAATTCAGTGATCTTAGATCCTTCAGGAAATAGTCAAATTTCAGGTATTAATGATAAGAGAGATATGAAATATACCGCATGGGTTTTCAAAGCATTTGCAAAATACTGCAGAATTCGATTATTGATTTGGTTATTGACGAGATAAAGTGACGTGATGCACTAAATACAATAATTAAATGGTATACATTAGTGGCACCATTATATAAAATATACCGTCTTGTTTCTCAAAGTATTTGCTAGTTGTTGCGCATTTTTCTCTTCGATTTTTTTATTATAAATAGTCAATGTAGTCATTGTCTAACAGATGAATTCTTAATAATAAATCTAAGTGTCATGAACATCAATTAAAATTTACTGGATTGGACTGCATGTCAACAATAACTTCCAAGATTGCACAACTATCAGATTTATTCCTAGTCATGCTCAATTTCCCCAGTGTCTATCAATGAATCCTTATACAAATTCAACATAGAAGACAAAAATGAAAAGTACCGTATTGTTCAATAAAGCATCACTAAGATATTGTGCACCAGCGCTTCCAATTGCATTGCCTTCAAGAGTAATCACAGTTAGGGTCTGTATCAGAGTCGATTGGATAGATATCAATTAAAACAAGAAAAGAAAATATATCTACAGTATTCGTTTGGAGTAAACTAGCAATATGCTTAGCACCTTCATCATCAATTCGATTATTAGCAAGATACAATTTACTGATTACCTATGTAGAAAATAAATAAATACATACAAAGGAGACACATCTTTTACCGGTATATTATGCAGCACAGGAACTAAATATTGTACACCAACAGTGCTTATACTATTTTTCTGAAGCTTAAGTACGGTTAGCATCTTCACAAAAGAAAAAAATAGTAGCGACATAAAGATTCAGAACTATTTCACTTTGCTATTAGTTAATGCCTGAGAAATACGCCGTACACCGTCATCTCCTAATTTATTATCATCAAGATCAAGTACGGTGAGTGACTATATAAATGAATACAATTAATACCATAAAGGCCATCGTAGAAAGAGAATAACCTTAGCGAAGACAAGTGCTTTGGCCAAATACTGAATTTTTTGAATTCCAATGCATTTTGAATTCATCATCACATTGGTTTCAGACTATGAGAACGACGATTAAAATTGATGTAAAACATTGTAGATAGGTTACTCGTGTTTGCGGCATCACAATATTGGCTAATACTTTCAGGTAGTTAGCCGCCAAGTTACCAAAAAAGTTTATCTTTGCCATAGACTACACGAAAGAAATTTAGAGATATCAAGACAATTGACTAGAAATCATATCAAACCGCATGATTTTGTAATACTTCAATGAACGCTTCAACACCTTTATCTCTTATTATATTGTTTGAAAGATCCAGTTCTTTTAATACCTATACATGCAAGAAATTATATTTATTAATGATACATAAATACAGCAAGAATTACTGTGTTGCGTGCTAATGCCTTAGCAATAGATTGAGTTCCATTAGTCGTGATTTGATTTGAATGAAGGCTTAGTATTTCAATTGTCTACAAGCAATCAGATAACGAAAATGTTTGAGATATAGAATAAGCTATCATTACATTATTCTTCCTTAGCATATTTGCAATATATTCAGCCCCTCGATCCGTAATTTGATTATAGTCAAGATACAATGACCCAATTTTCTACATAATATAGATGTAACAATGACAAACAGAGTATGTACATACTTTATCGTTTCTCAAAACATCCACAAAATATTTTAAACCTTGATCTTGGATCTCGCTATGATTAAGATTCAATGACGTGATTTTCTAAATTATATAAGAAAAACTCATATTGGAAAATTAATACAAATCTAAAAAGTATACCTCATTATTGATCAAAGCATCAGCGAGATATTTTGCATCTTCTCCTTTTATACGACGTGATTGAAGATCGATGGAAGCAATCATCTAAATCAAAATACGTACGTCACAATAATACGAATCAATTAAAGGTACTTTGTCATTCTTGATTAATGTGATCATATCTAATGTATTTGCTTGACTACATGGGTTACCAATAAGATTGAATTTGATTAATGTCTATTAAGATCAGTAGGATAAAAACAATAGAGTTGGAAGAATGAAAGTACCTGATTTTTTCCTAAGGCATTAAATAAATTTTTACCACCTTCCTCACCTATTTGATTTTGCTGAAGATCCAATGTAGTTAATGTCTATATGATCAAATTCTGAAAAAATGCAAAATGTTATCAAAGAATTTAATATTGCCTCGTTAGTTTCTAAAGCACCGGCAATATATACAGCGCCGTTATCTTCTATTACATTACGGACTAAGGAAAGACATTCGAGTGTCTTGACAAAATGAAAGCAATGAAGTAAATAATTAAATATTTCGTGTCAGTTTTACTTTGTTATTGACTAGTAAACAAGATATATATTTCGCTCCATTGTCTCCTATGTCATTTGATTGTAAATCAAGCGTGGTCAATGTCTAAGCATATTCACTTGCTTAATGACGTATACTCCATAAAACTTACTGTATTAAATTGCATTGCATTCGCGATGAACTCTACCCCAAGATCACCTATATGATTTCCAGCCATGCTCATATCGACGATGCTCTATATGAATAGATTAAAGACAATTCATGATATTAGAAGAAAAATCACTTTGTTAGTTTTTAAGGCATCTGCAATATACTCAGCACCTTTATGTCCAATACAATTTTTGTCAATATTTAATGTGATAAGTATCTATAAGTGAAGATTGATAATTATGTTAATTCTAATAGTAGTTAATAATTACTTCATTCGTTTTAAGCGCAAGCGCTAAGTGTTTTGCACCCACCTCGCTTATATTATTCTGCTGGAGATACAAATGAGTAAGTGTCTATAGAAGTGAACAAGAAATGGCTTCTAAGACAAACAAAACAGCTCTGAGAACCTTTGAATTTTGTAATAAATCGGCTATATTTTGCACACCATCGTCCCCTATTTCATTTTCAACAAGGCTGAATCTTTGTAGTGTCTAAAGCAAATTTTCATTGGAATAGGCGAATGAGAAAAATAGAAACTACTGTATTGTATCTTAGTCCAATAGTTAAGTTTTCGGATTCTAAGACTCCTATTTGATTATGGCGGAGGTCAAGTTGGGTGATTTTCTACGGAAGAAGTAATAATTCAAGAATAAAATAGGATTGTTAGATACTTTAGTTGTTTGCATTGCATCACCGAGATATTTTGCTTCATAGCCGTTAAAATAAATCGATGAAAACTCTAGTTTTGTAAGCATCTGTACGAGAAAGAGAAAGTTCTTTTTCATAGTGAGGTTATGAATACTTCTGTTGCATTGATATCAAATGTTCCATCTGTCCAACTCAATATTGGTAAACAACACTCATCCGTAGATGAGACGATCCATCGAATTGTGATGCAGGGGCTAGAAGAGTTAATGAATGATTGAAATAAAATGTCACCTTTTTTTATACACATAGGTGTTGTATAAAGATTAATTATTTTTCGTTGAATGTAGTAATCGCAAGTTATAAACCAACGTTTTTCATTCAGCCAGAATGGTGTTCGAAACAAGTCAATAAGAGAATCAATATTTCCCATAATGTCATTGTTATGCAAGGAACAGGAAAAGAAAAATACAAATTTTGCTAAAGATGAAATATTAATTTTAATAAATTGTTCCCATGAAAAGCCATCGAATGCTGAATCAAATGCTCTCCAACGAGAACAAATTTTAAGATACATAAGTGAAGGAGTTTGTGCTACAAGAAATTCGATATCACTCATCGATAGATGGCAGTCATTAATTGTTAGAGATAATAACTGTGAATAAGATGTGAAGATCACTTCATCACAGTCATCAATAATACAATCTCGTATTACCAAAGTCTTCAAGTATCGTAAATTGCCAAGGATCATTTGATATTGTGAATATGTGCACTTTTCCAATGAGAGATAGTTTAAGTTACAATCATTTGACCAAGATATACATTGAGTCCAATAACTGAAATTTTTCAAAATTAACTTGCGAAGTTTGAATTGGATAACTGCTGATGTAACAAGAACTGCTATTTTGTCGTGCCATCCTGAACATACGTCTATTGACAATGAGTTAAGCGGGCAACTAGCAAAAGTTTGTAAAGCACAATCAAGATCGTAATCAGTGAACTTGTTTAGTGTCAAAGAACGAAGTTTAGGAAATTCATGAATGTCAGAATGCAAGAGAAAAAAGTCGAAAGTAGTATTTATAGATGCCTTGTTAGATAAAATCAGTCCGATGATATTTTCAGCTCGAATAATACTTGCAATCAATTTGATGTATCTTTGTCGAATTGAAGAAAGATCAAGTTCATATCGATTATAAGTATCAGTAATCGTATGCAATCGTCTGCAAACACGACGAAGTGAAATCAATATCGAACAAATATCAAGATGATCCAAAATACAGTAAAAAATTTCGACTGGTAAAGTAACAAGCGACATATTTTAGATTTTGATGTGTTGTTGAAATGAATGAGTCGTTTTTTATGTCTTGTTTGTGAAAAAGTATGCACATACATATTTATCTTGCTTCTTATCGCATGTTTTCTCCTATGTAAATACCTTAATCTTTGACTTGAAATGCGTCTGAATCATAGCAGTCAAATGGTGTACAGATGTAGATGTAATGAAATATATTTCAACTCAAATACGCAACTCGTAAAAAACATATATTTTATCCATCGCGGGCTACCACTGTTTCCACATGACTTCTCATAGATCCACGAATGATTTATCTTATCTCGTTTTAGTTTTCTTTAGTAAGAAGTCCTGTGAAACTTGACATGTATGAACTACAAGTATGATACGTCACGTAATTAGCTATATGATCCCTACTATAGTTAGGGTGTTAGGTATTCTCATTTAAAAAGTTCCCCTTAATCTCTTTACTCATTTGACCCTCTTCATTTGTTTACAGATGATTTCCCTGTCAAAACTTTTCACGGATCTAGAACCTTGAAAGCAAAACAGAGAGACAAAAGGGACTTATGAGAGAAATGATGCTCATCTATAAATATAAAGAAGAATGTTTATCTGTCTGTTTGCTACAGATTTCAATACGGTACGAGAAATTAAACCAAAAACTGTTCAGGGGCCTTCCTTTCATCCAGAGGAAGGTCGACAATTGTGTTTGGTCGAAAAATACCGAGCCTTCCCCCTCCCTCGCTATTTATTTGACCAACCAGATTACAGCATTTCATAATATGATTGTAAGTAAATACTGGACATGTGTCTAGAGGCTTTTGAGGATGCTGAATTCAAATCTGAGGTCCATTCGCCTCGGAATTTGATTGGTTCTTATCAAACTAATAGGAATACAGTTGTTAAGGAAATAGATCGAAATACCTATAATTTTCTGAAAAACAATGAAGTCGGGGTCTTTCGATGTGAGGAACTTGAATCTGGGATTCAATTGTCTCGATAATTGATTGGTTACTTCACCATCGACAGATATCGAATTGGAAAATACGTATTACTGAATGATTGCAATGAGACCGTTACCCAAGTCGAACGATGTGGTCCCTTATACGGTGCGTGAACTGGACACAGTAATACGGATCGTACCGTCTATCTATTTGTATATATGCTAGAAGAAAACCATAGAAGCGTCGTTTTCCTTTTCGCTAAATAAGTTCTATCAAATTATCTAGACCAACATTGGGTATTCCCGCTAGTATTACTGTATAAAGAAAAGTAAAATGGGATAAAGTAAATTTTTCACGGGTCTCTGGCACGTACACTGTAAATTTTTTTGAAATTCTATCGTTTAGAAACCGACTTTAAATAAGCTAAAGCATTTTCGAATATTTATTATGCATTCGTCGAATTTTGAATATTCAGAAAATGTTTGATTTTCTAAATTATAGAAAATTCAATTTGATTTTCGGAAAAATTCTTTTTCCAAAAAATTGAAAAACCAACAGTGACTTCTTAAAATGTTTGAAATTCAATTGCAATTTTATAGAAAATCAAGATAAATTCTAGAAAAGTAAAAAATCAGCGCCACGTTCTAGAAAATCATTTGGATTATGGCCTTTATAACAAGGGGAGAAAAGCGGCTCCTGGTGGCACCTGATGGATTCTAGAATCCACCAGGATCCATCAGAATCCACCAGAATCCATTTTGATTAGTGAATTTATATCAATATTTTAAACAATTTTCAGTTGCTAAAGAAAACAACGAGACTCATATATGTCGGATCTATATGACTTTGATCGAGTTTTGAAAAAATTACGAAAGTGACCATGCATT